AGAGACGGGGTTTCACCATGTTGACCAGGATGGTCTTGATCTCTTGACCTCGTGATCCACCCGCCTCGGCCTCCCAAAGTGCTGGGATTACAGGCTTGAGCCACCGCGCCCGGCCGATAAATGCATTCTTAGTTTTGAGGGATAGACCACGAAGAGAATGAATTGTTTATTGAGGGGCAGAAGACTCCTAGTTAAGACATAAGCTTCACTAACTAATAGCATTCCTGGATTAGCCAGGAGTGAGTATGACCTCAATCTATGTTTGAAAAGTCTACTGAAAAGCTGCCCCTCTGTTTTACCCCATCTGCCAATCAGCTTTCTCCTGAAACAAATCAAAGGGCAGGGTGGAGATAATGGACAGATTTTAAAAGAAATAAATATAATTAGACATAATGTTGTATTCTGGTGAAATCTGGTAGGAAAAAGACCAAAATAGAATATTTCAGACATCTTATTAACCTTTGAGTCCCTATTTCTGTCTCTTTTAAATTGTTGTGTATTTTTGTTGGCCATTATACTGAGTTTTTACCTACACATCACTGGAACAATTGAGCGTTTCTTCAAGTCCATGCTGACTCTAGGTCCTTATCATAGCTGTAATTGTGAGATGGACTTTAGTTGCTATATTTCAATTATCATTTTAATTTTCTTGTCAAGATATTGTAATATTTATTCTGCTAATCTAAAATCATTATTTTAATTTTCTTGCCAAGATATTGTAATATTTATTCTGCTAATCTAAAATCATTATTTTAATTTTCTTGCCAAGATAATGTAATATTTATTCTCCTAATCTAAAAGTTGAGGCACAGCATGATTAAATCACTTGCTTAAAATATGCTGTGAGTAAATAGAATTGAGAAAAGTTAATAATCCCTTAGTAATACATATCTAAGAACAATCTACTTATAAAATATGTAACTACTTTCTTCCAAATAAATTGCTGTTTTCCAAATGCTTATCTTGAATGTTGAAATGTAAAAAAAGAAAAAAAATCCCACTATAATCTATAGTGATTTAATTTAAAAAATGCAATAGTTTCTGTTATTTTTAAGAGATTAAAATATAAAAATGTGTCACAGAAGAGTATCTTAAGACACTGTATGGGAATGAATGAGTGAGTCTGCAAAGCAAATTTAGGAAAATGCAAATGACACCACTGAAAAACAGGCCTTCAGATAAACTCTTTGACTTGCTGAATTGATAAGAACAAGCAAGTTAGATAGAAATGATTTAGTAAAAACTTGTGATTACACCATCCAGTTGCGAATTAGAGGGAAAAAATGCTGCCATGTTTGATAACAGGTAAATAACAATGTTGTTGAGCTCAAAGAGTAGTATAAGTGATTTGTGCAAATTATATTAATTGACTCCATTGTTCCACGTGTAATCTAAAATTATAAATGGAGAATAAACCAGAACAATAAAACCTTGCTATTTATTGATTCCATGTCCCAGGAGATGACCTGAGTCAATGGACAGTAGCCTCACTCTTGATTGGGAGAGTAGACTTTCCATGATCACATGAAGGAGGAGAACTTCTATGACCAATAAAGGACCAAGTTGACTTTATCAGGAGGGGTATGCAGTCCATTTTAAGGCTAAGATCCCCAGGGGATTCATGCACAGGGTTAATTTTCCTAAAGCATAATTGATCAGTGCAGTCCTGATAGTGCTCTGAGACTTCCTGGGAAATATTATTAACTCAGGACTGACATTCAGCTGCTGTATACTAGTAAGGGCAGAAATAAATACATGCCAGTTGGTAAGCTGCAGCACTGAGCCCCTGCTGACAACAGTTCCTCATATCCTGAGGAGTCTCATATAGGTGGAGGGCAGGTCTGCTGGGAAATCCGCCAGCTCGCTTGCTCCACCCAGCTTCTGGTGGCTCTTGAATGTATGCAGCCCTCACCAAAATGAACCTAGACCCTGGAGGAGGGAGACTGTTCACATGGTGGTGGCAAATGGCATCCATTAGGAAAATGTCTGGAGCTGATCTAGCCCACTGGCTGGGGCTTCCCCACACAGTGACAACTTATAAAAACTATGACCTTTACAGTGTATGGTATCTATCATTAACTATCCTGACCATCACCCCCGCACATTATTTATGCTTACAAATAGGATGGAATGTGGCATTTGTCCATGTTCCATCTTAATTGCAAGCCTAAATAATTTGAGATGCTGGTGGTTCCTGATTAATAACTTCAGCCTGACCTGAAAATTGTGAACAGAAGGAAGAAAGAAATTAAGCATAGAAGGCACCCAGGCCTATGTAAGACAAACTTGAACAACTTCCGACATCAATTTTGTATAACTACAAGGCTTGTTACTTCATTTAGTCACCCAAGTTTAATTTGAAATCAACTGCCACAGATTTCTCAACTCTCAGTAATGAGAGGCAATTTGTTCAAGAGCCTTGTTATGCAAGAACCTTTAAGTGCACACACCATCAGCACAGTGGGAGCACTATTATTTTTAAAGTTAAAAATGATACTATCATATTTTTGTTATGTATAATTTTATTGCTCTATATTTTCATCATTAACTCCAGCTAGCTAAAACAGAGCCAGCACCTAATTCAATTCTAAGCTCTTTGCAGGCTTTCATTTGAGTTGTGCTCTAGAAGTAAATGCTGAATGCTTTTAAATGACAATATGCCATATGAATAGGACCCTTTGTTCACCTTATCAAGAAAATAATGGAGAGTGATAAGAAAGGGTATCCCTTCACCCACAAACCACTAACTAAACAAATAGAAAATGTAAAATGCAATTTCAAAAGTGGAAATGACAAAAAAAAAAAAAGAGGAACTGTACCTGCTGTAAATCCAGTGTAATTGTCACGTAATGGTATTCGATTCCATTCTTAATACTGGGACTCTGCCACCAAGTGTTCTTTCCATCAATAGCGTTTGTAATTGGGTGTCTCTCTATTGAGTTAGCAGCATCATGTGAAAGGAGGAAAAAAGATTATATAATTAATTTATAGTTGTTTTTTTAAAGTAAAAAATAATAAAACTGTTAAAACAATCATCATGTGGATATAAAACATTAAAATAATACAAAAAGAGAGCAATTCAGATTCTCAACAGAATTTCTTCAAGACAGCTGTCTCATAGAACCATACAAAGTAGTGGAAAATGATTAAATGCTTAGGCTGCAGGAGAATGAGCTGGTCAGCACTCTGGCCATCAACCAAAATGGGCAACTTTAAAGGTAACTACACAAATTAAGTGTAAAGTGTAATATAATTTAATATTATATAATATTAAAATCTAATTGATGTGTCAATCATTCCAAAAAGCAACAACTATTTGAGACAGCTCTAGTACGCCATCAACCTTGTTAACAGAAACATAAAATCCCGACTTGTGGTTGAAAGATACTTGAATACTTGCCTTCTGACACATTCATTTTTATCAAGACTTGGAGAGTCCAATATGTATCTGGCTTTAACATAAAATGCTGTTAAATTTATTCTATGAGATATTGAGTCTCAGGAACCAATACCTGAAAATATAGCATCCTGGTACGCTGATTATTTTAAATGAAAGGCTCTTGGAGACCAGCTAATGCTGAAATAAGTTTTGCTCTGTTACTCCTTTATCTGGTTACAGTCTGATCTCACCAAGAAGAAAAGAATTCCCTCTGGCCCTCGTGCTAAGTTTTCATTAATTTAACTTATTTCACACGAAGAGGGACTGACGTCTCTCAACACACCTGAACAGACTTCTGCTAAAAACCACTGTCTGTTCTGTGGGTCCAAAGACTTTGTCCCAGGCCATTGTATGGGTTTTGAATTCCCCTAAAAATCATTTACTATTTTCCAAATTGCCATATTTTCCCCATCTCCCCTTCCTTGTGAAGAAGGGTGTGTCTACATCTATGTCCCCATTGGGTTATTGGGTAATCACCCTCCTGTGATTCTTCCATGTTATGCATGTTAAAATAAATTTTGTATGCATTTCACCTACTAAGCCAACTCTTTTCAGTTGATTTTTCATCAAACCTTCAGAATGCAAAAGGGAAGTTTTCCTTTGGCCTTTACAGAAGCTTTTTACAGCCAGCCTGTATCTTGCTAATTTTCTATCACTAATAATATGATGAAAGATAACCCAAACCTCCCATCCAGCATTTGCCTGTTGCCATCATTACTAAGTCTAGTGGAGGAATCTTTACAATAACGGCAAGCAAGGAGACAATGGCACATGAAACTCCATCTACCAAAAAACCACAGATCTCCTACTTTCACTCCAGACATATGAGAACAGGATCAACTGTGAAAATCAAAAGGGAGATTGCAGATGGAAAATAGGAGGTGTGGCAGTCCTGCAGACCTGTGATCCTTGTTGCAGCTCCCTTCCTTCTTAGAGTCCTCAAAGCTCACAGTCCTCCTCTCTTCCCATTTTAGCTCTGCATGTTTCACAAGAGCAGCCACTACTCCTGGGCTGTGAAGCCCTCATTGCATATTGGTTCCTAGTCATTGGTGCTTGTCTGAAAACTTTGCTTCTCATTTTCCAAGTAATATAAGGTCTTTTTCTTTCTCCCCGTCTAAATAGGCCTTGCTCACACATGAGTGAGAATGACAAGAGTGGAGGCTGTTGATGATCCTGTTTCTATTTCCAAGACGGCAATAAGGGCACTTAAGTTCCTCACATCTCACTGCCAAGTCAGCACATTTGCTCATTGAAATGTAAACAAAGTGGAGGTGAACTTCCCTAAACTCCTCTGTTTGTTATAAATTAAGGATGTTTGGGTTGTCCGTCCTGAGACATCAAACGAATTATCTGGGAAGTAGTTTCAAATGAGTGGCTTATGAACGGCCTTTTAGATTAGAATACAATTGCCTTTAAATTTGAAGGAATATCTCAAATAATGAACAAATCACACCACTATAAGGAACAAACATGGACTCTCAATTTTCCTACCTAATATTGCAATCTAGCCAAGTATTCTAATAATATTGGTGATGAAAGAGAGGGGGTAGCTAGATATTCCTCCTGGCCCCACCAGCACGTAACTGACCACAGTTAGTACGTAACTGACCACAGACAAATCACTTCAACACTATGTGTCATCCTGATATAGGAATAACAAAATTCCACTCACAGCAGAGGTTTCCAGATTCATCATCTTCAGAAAAAAAAGTGAAGTTAAATATAAATGTGTGGCAGATTTGTGAAATTGATACAGGAGTTCTAGCTTTTAGTTTTTTCAAGTAGTAATAACCTCCAATCTACATCTATCACTTAATAAAGCATGATTATTATTTCATAAAATAAAGGGCATTTAAAAACCTACAATAGTTTTTTAAAAACCATAATATCAAAATGGAGAACAATTATTTAAAATGTATTCTATTTTCATGAAAAATGTGAGTTGTTCTCAATTTCTTACTTTGCCATGGACCAGCAAAAGCATCTTGAATGTGAATCCTTTATTCACAGGGTTACTGATGAACAGTATAACTATGACCATTCTAACCATTACTATGCATATACATAAAATGAGTGACACTTCTGTTCAAAATGTATTATTCTAAATCTTAATTAGAGACAAGTTGCATTTAGTAAAAACATTTGAAAAAACAATAAAACTAAAGCAAAACTAAGCCCTTAAAGCAACAGGAATCTGATAGTAAAATCATCCTTAAAAGAAAAATTTTATTAAAAGATGAATATTGGCCAGGTGCAGTGGCTCATGCCTGTAATCTCAGCACTTTGGGAGGCCAGTGTGGGTGGATCACTTGAAGTTAGGAGTTCAAGACCAGCCTGGTCAACAGAGTGAAACCCTGTCTCTACGGAAAAAAAAAAAAAAAATTAGCCAGGCATGGTGTCAGTCACCTGTATTCCCAGCTACTTGGGAGGCTGAGACAGGAAAATCACTTGAACCCAGGAGGCAGAGGCTGCAGTGGGCTGAGATTGTGCCATTGCACTCCAGCCTGGGTGACAGAGCAACTCCATTTCAAAAAAAAAGCTGAATATTCACTAAATTTGCCATTTTCAGATTTGTGAATATTTTTATTATATATCAATTTCTATTAAATGCAAATATTATGTGTTAATACAAATTAATATATAATTTATTTATATAAACAATTATATATTTTATTATATATTATTTGTAATTAATATGTAATAAATTGTAATAACACTTACTGAAAACATAAAGGCTGTGTTTTGAGTTACTTATGGTATAATAATCCTATTCCAGATATGGATATTCATATTGCAAATTTTAATATGACTGTACAGGACAGGGAAAAAATATTTCATTGTTATTGGTAAATTTTTAAATTCAACTTAACAGCTGGCTGGACTTTATTTTCCACCAAATCATCATGTTAGCCCTCCACGGAGATGAGGCTTTCTGTCTCATTAACGAAAAGTATAATTGCTGAATATATTTAAATATTAGCGTTAAATTTTTCTGTTGAAGTTAGGGAAAATGTCAGGTCTTTATGATGACAGCAAATACCAGAAGCATAACTAAATACCAAATAAATGACCCTGGTAACATAAGGGGGTGCTGTAATTGGCATATAGGGAATCAAAACCATAAATGAAATATTATTGGCACTGCTTCTGAAGAAAAATAAATATCACAGAAAACATTCCCCAAATATGCTCCTGAATCTTTTTTACAGATTGTGAGTTTAATATGTGATAGAAAAAATACACACACAACCCCATTTCTAAATCAAATTCATGACTCATAGGTAATTGTGAGAGAAGTTGTCTAATTGGAAATTTTGATATCTGCCACCTCAGGTCAAATTGATAAGAGAATTAGTCATGAAAAGGAGGACTGGGAGATGAATCAACAATTAACCATAATCCCTATTATGAAAGTTTAATCATAATTAATTTGCAAATACTGATGAATTGTTGGCATAGTTCCCTCATTTAAAAGGAGATAGAAAGGTATAACATCCTCAACAGGGATAAATATGCAAGTCAATTCAAAAGCTAACTGCAACTGAAAACTAGATAGGGAATCTTTGATGAGGTAAACCTTTCAAACTGCTAGTTTTTAATTGGGAGGAAAGTATATTAACAGTCAAAAAGTTCAAGGTTCATTCTCTTTGCAGGGTGTTGAAATGCAGACCTTCCATATTTATTCTCAGAGTTCACTGAATTTGTAGAATTTTATCATCTGTTCCTCCTTTTACTAAAATATATTCATACAGTTTATTGCTAGATTTTTATTCTTGTGGGGTTTTATTCTTCTAAATTTGTAGTACCAAAGCATAATTGGGAAATGTGGAATGAATCTGGTCATTTAAAAATAATCACGTAGGCCAGGTACAGTGGCTCACCCCGTAATCTCAGGACTTTGGGAGACCGAGGTGAGCAGATCACCTAAGGTCAGGGGTTTGAGACTAGCCTGGCCAAAATGGTGAAACCCCATCTCCCCTAAAAATACAAAAACATTAGCCAGACGCAGTGGCACCTGTCTGTAGTATCAGCTACTCGAGAGAGGCTGAGGCTGGAGAATCACTTGAACCTGGGAGGTGGAGGTTGCAGTGAGCTGAGATCACGCCCCTGCACTCTAGCCTAGATAACAGACTCTGTCTCAAAAAAATAAATGAATAAAAATAATAATGACAATCATGCAAAATAAATCCAGACTGTGACAAGTTTAAAAATCACTACCGGTAAATAAAAATGGGGAAATATCATAACTTATATACATCTTGCTTTTCTGAAATAGTTTATTTATTTTTGGTTTCAGTGTGGAAAAACATGGGTAGTATTGCCCGAATATAGATATCATCCATGAGATAAAATGTACTCCGAATGTGGAACTTTCAGGAGGGTGAAAGACAGAATAGCTCTTGAACTCAATTTGACAAATGCATCTCATCCATTTTTCCAACTAAGAATAAAAATAATTGAATGGAGAACTCAATTATTTTCTACCCCAATATTTGTATCATTCTCCATCCCCTTTTTATGATTGTAATCATTTTTTCTTTCTCTCCTTTCCTGTGTAAATATTATATATACATATGTACATATTATTGTATATACATAATATTTATACTTATGTACATATAGTATTTTTATAAATTTGTTTAATATTATAATTATATGTGTATATTATGCAACATATCATATATTTAATGTTTAATTTAAATATCAGTTTAATAAATACATAAGTATATTTATATACCTGCATACATATACACACACTTATGGTTTTGCATATTTTATCTCTCTAATTCTCCCTGTCTGCACAGCCCATCCTAAACACACATCTACACACTCAAACCTCCTCCCCACAACTCCGTTCATGCCCCCAGACTTTCTCACATTCTCCATGAACTTATCAAGGCCAGCAATCCCTGAACCAATGATGGTTTTCTTCCATCAGGCTTTAGTGTCTTGCCCAATGAACCTGAAACTAATAATCCATCAATTCATTTACTTTCTGCCCTTTTCTTCTATTTTTTGCCATCTTCTTCCATTCCACTTTCCCTGTAATGCTCCAAGAGTATCAGTCGAAATGTTTGATTCTTTATTTTACTCCATATGGAATTGCCACTTTATTCTTATTATGGCTCAGTGATTCCCTCCTAGTCCCCTGAGAGGCTCATAATCTAAATGTTTGCTTCTTGCCTCAGCAGATAACCCAGATTTATATCTTAATGAAGAAATCCAAGATCATCAAATAAGAAATTTCTCCCAATACTTTCTGCTATCTGCTGCTATTTATCCTTCCTTCTTTCTGATTTGGTGAATTAAAAGTATGTATCTTTCAATATAAGTTTTTCACCTATGCTTAATGACCCATATGTTTTTACTTCTAGAGAGATATCATCCCCACCACTACTTTGTTGTCAACTTCCCTGGCCTTCTCCCTAAGCATCTAAACTAGCTCAAATGTCTCCTACCTTTGAGAACCTTCGCAACCCCACAGCCTCCTCTGCCCTTCATTCTCTTTCACATCAAGGATGCTTGAAAGAATATTTCTATATTCATCTCTTCTTCTTCCTCATTCATTTATTACCTCTTCAGTGTGCCTCTTGCCACATTAAATCTGCTGAGTACTTTAGCAAGGTGATCAAAGGGTGGCATTGTTGTCAAAAGCAAGTGAAACCTATTTTCTTACTCAATTATCTTGGAAGCATTTAAAACTGTTGATTGCTTTTTCTTCCTGACAATTCTTTCCTTTATCATGTATCCAATGCTTCATTTTCCTGATTTTTTTTTCCTTGAAATCTATTTCCCTCTATTGCCTTCCTTGACTGCATTTACCCTAACTTCCTTGGCTTTTACATAAAAGCAAAGGGCTCTGACATATGTCCTTTGCTCTTGCATTCTATACAAGAAATAGCAAACATTTGAGTATGCAACAATACTCCCCACTCCTATACACATATCCTAACAACTTATATCCTAGAAATTAACCAGAGTCGGCTGGGCGTGGAGGCTCATGCCTACAATCCTAGCACTTTCAGAAGCCGAGGCAGGCAGATCACTTGAGGTCGGGAGTTTGAGACCAGCCTAACCAACATGGAGAAACCTCGTCTCTACTAAAAATACAAAATTGGCCACGCATGGTGGCACATGCCTGTAATACCAGCTACTCTGGAGACTGAGGCAGGAGAATCGCTTGAACCTGGGAGGCGGAGGTTGTGGTGAGCCGATATCCTGCCACTGCACTCCAGCATAAGCAACAGGGCGAGACTCCATCTCAAAAAAAAAATTTTTAAAAAAAGGAAAGAAATTAACCAGAATCATTAATAGGTAAGGAAGGTTTCTGGTGGTTGCCTTCTTTGGTGTCTTAACATGTGTTTTTCTAACATTCTGTGATATACATGACCAATTTTAATCATGCAATCCCCAATTCCTCATTATATAATTTAGGAATGTAGAAAACATTACTATATTTGAGGAATTGGGACTTGTGTGAACAACTAAACCCTAATGCAGTCTATGAACTTTGGATGATAATGTTGTCAATGTAGATTCGTGGACTGTAACAAATGTAGCACTCTGGAGGGGGATATTGATAATGGAGAAGTCTACACATGTGTTAGGGCAGGGGATATATGGGAAATTTCTATACTTTTCTCTCAATTTTGCTGTGAACCTCAAACTGTTCTAAAAATAAAGTCTATTAAAAAGAACAGAGAAAAAATATTAAGCAAATTTTAAAATAATATAATTGTGAAGGTTTAGCCCCATCATAGTTCACCTTAATTGGTGTAAAGTTTTATTAACCTCTTTTTTCTCTCTGTACATATATACACACTCATATATATATATATATATAATATGTATCTACCTTTTTATATATCTATATAAAATAATAGTAATAAAAAACTGTCTTTTGAGAAGCTGAGGCAGGTGGATCACTTAAGGTCAGGAGTTTCAGACCAGCTTGGCCAACATGGTAAAAGCCCATCTCTACTTAAAATACAAAAAATAGCCAGGCATGGTGGCACATGACTGTAGTCCCAGCTACTTGAAAGGCTGAGGCAGGAGAATCACTTGAACCTGGGAGATGGAGGTTGCAGTGAGCTGTGATTGCACCACCACACTCCAGCCTGGGTGACAGAATGAGACTCTGTCTCAAAAGCAAAATAAAAATAAAAATAAAATGTATATATCTATGTATTAAAAAATAATATAAATAAAATATATATCTATCTTTTTATATAGATTACATATAAGTATATATCCACCTTTGGATATATTATATAGAGAGAGAGACAGAGAGAGAGGTAGGGTGGAGAAGAGAAGGCATGTCAGAAAGATAGATGTAGATATATCTAGTTAGATATATATATATATATAGATTCCTTATCCAGGAATCTTTAGATGACCTTAGCATCTACATGGAGCATTCATGTTCCTTTAGCACCAAATTTACTTTCCTTTTGCCTCTATTTCCCCCCAGTTTCTCTGAATCAGGGATTATGTGTAATTCAATATTATGCTTCAATACAATGCATTGCTAGTAGGAGGTGTTCAAAGGCTTGTTGAATAAATACAACAATGAGTCTGAGGTATCACTGTGGTTCATAGAGGCCAGAAAGAGGGCTTTGCATGGTGCCTCTCCCTAAATCACTTCTCCTGTGGTTGTTAAATGCCTTCATAATATGGCTCCAGCCTTCTGCTCTAGGCTCATCTCCACACTACCCTTTGGCCCTTTCAGTTCTAGTTATTCCCAACTAATTGAAGCTCCCTGAGTAACTAGGATTTTCTGTGTAATTCTGATTTCTCTTCCTGACAAGACTTCTCCTCTTCCCCTCCATCACTTATTTACCTGTTTAGCTCATACTCTTGTTTAGCTCATATTCTCAGTTATGAGCTTGGATATCGCTTCTTCTGGCAATCCTTACTTACACCAAGACTGACTTTGTGGCCATCCTCTTCTGCAGAACCCTGTGCACATTCTTTGCTTTCTATTTACCACACTATTTATCAGAAGCTCAAAGACCATACCCTACCTTATTCCTCCCAGATCTTAGGCACAATATGTGGCACATAAATTCCAGTGAATGATGATAGCCTGAGTTAATAACCACATCCTCAGAAACCATTCTGGTATCTGAAGTTAGTAAACCCAATGACTGCCACAGGCCTTCAGATGGCAAATCATCTCCAATCACTGTACTTGGTACATAGAAAAACTCCCATAATGTTTGCTGAATGACAGAGGGCGCTGGAAGAAGCTTATAGTGGGAAAAAGAATTCTAAGGATTATAAACCCTTTGAATTTAATGCAACTTGGCCTCAACATCTCACAATTATAGATCCTACCCAGTGTCATACAGAATACACACTAAAATACATACGGTTTGGATTGCTGCTGTTTTGATTGCAGATACGACACTGGGGGTTCCTCACAGGCTGCCCAGGGACGTGTTCTACCAATTTGCAGTACATTTCAGGTCCCTTTTCTCCACATGTTGCATTGGTCATGATAAGAGCATTAGAAGCAAGATTCAGGACCGCAGGGAATAAACCTGAAAAAGATGGGCAAATGAAGGTGTGTATATCAGAAACAAAGTTATGATTTTGATGCATTTTAAAATGCAGTTGAGATAGGATATTTTCAATGCATTAAAGTAACCCAAAATGAATTAGTGATAAAAACCTGATAATTCAGTATACTACATAAATGCTATGTGTTATCAAAAGAATATTATTTTTCTTTCTGGGTCTTAAATATGGACTTTAAAACTCTTTTTAATTTTTTACATAAGGCTTTTTTTTTTTTAGCATTTACTTAGCAAGAAGGTCCTGTCTCTAGGATACATTCTAAAAACATATAAAAAATATTATGTTGAAGTTATTGGAAAAAGATCTCACTAAATCTTCCATCTTCCATTTCAGCTATTTTATATCTAGTATTAAGACATAATTGCATGTTAATGTTTCTGCACAACTATGCAAATATGTTTTTCATGGTCATTTCATGATCCAGTTATCTTTTATTGTAAATAATTATTAAAACTTCTTATCTCAAGACTAGAGAAGATAGAGAATGATTATTTTGGAAAGCCATTTTTTACTGCTTTCCATGCTATCCAGCAATATTATAAAGAAACATATTGCCAGAAACAAGTCATCATAGTAGTCTGTGATCATACACCAGTAATTATATCTTAGTTATCATAGAAGTGTTTGACTTTCATAGATACAATCTCAGAAGTCCATCGAAGTGTAGGCTGGGGAGATTTTTTATTCCCTTTGAGAACCGAATTCAGTCTCTTTTCTTCCTGTAACTTAATGTCAATTCTGCTTCATACATGTCTAACATTTGCATTTTATAGACCCCTTTTTAATAACAGTATAGCAAAGTCACTCATTAAAAGCCACTCTTTAATTGAAAAATCTGTTTTTGGAAAAAGCACATTTGAGATTACAGATAATTTGACTCTATTTATGGAGGGAACATGCTGACCATCTAGGTCGTTTCAGCTCTATATATGTGTCAAGTAGGTCTGTATCAATTCAACTTCTAATAGAAAGTCCCTCCTGGCCAGGCACGGTGACTGACACCTGTAATTCCAGCACTTTGGGAGGCTGAGGCAGGTGGATCACCTGAGGTCAGGAGTTCGAGACCGGCCTGACCAACATGGTGAAACCCCATATCTACTAAAAATACAAAAATTTGCCAGGCATGGTGGCAGGTGCCTGTAATCCCAGCTACTTGGGAGGCTGAGTCAGGAGAATTGATTGAACCCAGGAGGCAGAGGTTACAGTGAGCTGAGATTGTGTCACTGTACTGCAGCCTGGGAGACAGAGCAAGACCCCATCCAAAAGAGAAGGGAAGTGGAGGGGAGGGAAGGAAAGGGAGAGGCGGGAAGGGGAGGGGAGGGGAAGGGAATGAAGAGGGGAAGGGAAAGGAGAGGGGAAGGGTAAGGGAGGGGAGGGGAGGGAAAGCGGAAGGGAAGGGGGAGGGGGAAGAGAGGGAAAGGGAGGGGAGGGAAGGGCAGGGAAGGGAGGGGTAGGGAAAGGGAAGGGTGAGGCAGGCCTTCCTGACTAAATCTCATGGCTTGATATTTTACTGAGATCCCTATATCTTGAGTTTGTGTTTTCTGTCTTATCTTCAAAGCTTGTCACATAGTAGGGACAGAGTAGGCACTCAATGCATTTGTAAAATGAATGAATAAATAGATTATAGATTATAAATATTAGACTCATAAATGTTTGCATCATCTGCACACAATAATAATTATTATAATCATAATAGCCAACATGGTTGAATATTTGCAATGTGCCAAGCACTATTGTCAGAAACTGTTCCTACATTACTTTTCTGCATGGACTGATTTGCTACACAAAACATCCACATGAGCTTCATACCACTATTACCCCTAATTTATTAAGAAGGCACAAAGGTTTAAGTAACTTGCCCATGATTACAGCTAGCAAGTAGCAGAGCTACGATTGGAACTGAAGTAATCTGGCTCGAGTCTATCCTCTTAATCACTCTGAATGTCATCTACAATGTTGTAGGAAACCAACATAAATCTAGTGCTACCTTGCAGAGCTGGTTGACCTTAGAATTGCATTGAAAGAAACAAAAAAGAAAAAAAAAGAAGCTGGGTGCGGTGGCTCACGCCTGTAATCCCAGCACTGTGGGAGGCCGAGGCGGGTGGATCACGAGGTCAAGAGATCGAGACCATCCTGGTCAACATGGTGAAACCCCATCTCTACTAAAAATACAAAAAGTTAGCTGGGCATGGTGGTGCGTGCCTGTTGTCCCACCTACTCAGGAGGCTGAGGCAGGAGAATTGCCTGAACCCAGGAGGCAGAGGTTGCGGTGAGCCGAGATCACGCCATTGCACTCCAGCCTGGGTAACAAGAGCAAAACTCTGTCTCAAAAAAAAAAAAAGAAAAGAAAAGAAAAAAGAAAGTAAATCAGGAAGATTTTTATAATATTTGATTATTAGACTTGTATCTATTGATTATTAAAATTTATTCTCTTCCAAAAGAGATAATAGTGCATAAAAATTGCAATTACAAATAACTTAAATCTTTATTGTAATCACTTTCAAAAATTCCACAGGTAAATGAATTCAAAAGATCAAGTGACAACTCAGTTCTTGTCTCAATCATTCTTAAGATCTCCCAAAGAGTTGTACCCAAAAAATTTTTTCTCTCTTTTTTCCCTCCTGATACATATATCTTTAAAATCCCTTGATTCCATTCCTCCAAAATAGTGCCTCTCACTCTCATTTGCCCTCCGGCCTTGTGTTTTTCTCCAGCTGAAAATTAAGGTTTCCAATTTTTCCTGATTTGCCAGTGGTACTTGCTTTTTCACTTAATCACTATTTCATCTATTGTTCTTGATAAATTTATTCTGCCCTCCAACTCTGTGCCCTCTGTCCCCAACATAATGAGACATTCTGTCAATGTGACCTGAGGGAAGCTAATGCAATCATTGGTCAGAGAAATATTAAACATTCATAAACTATTATTTATTTCATGAGACAATGTAGTGTTTTATAAAAACTAGAATACTATACAAAAGTTTTTACCTTATTTTTTAAAATCTTTACCGTGATATAAAGCTTAGTGGAAACTTTCTAACAATTTTGTGAAGTTTGTTGGGTTACAAATTTTAAAATAATTAGATGGTCTCCACAGCATTATCTATCTTAGACATTTTATTTTCTAGGTTAGTAAATGATATATGATTAAACAAATAAAATTTGTCTGTGTATCTTTCTCTTTTGTCATTCATCACCATTTTGCACTTAACTGTACAACTATATTTTTCATCAAATATGCTTTGAGCACATATCATGCCAGACAGCAAAGCATCTGAGAATAAAAATATTACAAAGATGGGCTTATCACAGGAAGTAATCTTGAGCTGAATTTTCAAGGAGAGATGGAAATTTATCTGTTAGGGAAAATGAATAAAGAAAAACCGAGTATATCAGGCAGACAGAATGGCATATGAGTATGGTCTCTATGTTGAAAGCATATGTGAATGATGAGTGAGTCAGAGTACTTAAATCTGTCATTGTTTCAATATATAAGATTATTTAATTGTCTGCATATAGATGTGGATATAGATACAGATACATATAGGTTACACATTTGAATATACATAATGGTTGATATGGTTTAGCTGTGTCCCCACCCAAATCTCATCTTCAATTGTAGCTCCCATAATCCCTACCTGTTGTGCAAGGGACACAGTGGGAGGTATTGGATCATGGCAGGGGGTGACAGGTTTTTCTCATGCTGTTCTTGTGATAGTAAATAAGTTTCCTGAGATCTGATGATTTTATAAAGGGGAGTTCCCCTGCACACATTCTTGCCTGCCACCATGTAAGACGTGGCTTTACTACTTCTTTGCCTTCCACCAAGATTGTGAGGCCTCCCCAGCCATATGGAACCATGATACCATTAAACCTATTTTTCTTTATAAATTACCTAGTCTTGGGTATGTCTTACTAACAGCATGAAAATGGACGAATACAGTGGTGCACTTACTTACTTACATATTAACATAAACCACTGCTTCTTTGTCACTGTTAGTAATTTGTTTTAGTGGATTTTTCTCCAGTTCCTTAAAAATTTAATTTACAGTATAGAAAAATAGGTAGTAAGAATGAAGAGACATGCTGGGAATTCTGTTTCAAGAGGGCAAAATTATACTTCTCTTGCTGGCTTATATGATGAGTTCAAGCAGTCAAGCTCCATCTGGTCCCTTCAAAGACAGCCAGCTTACACAAAAGCCATCCCAGGCAGGTACTAATACTTCTAAAACTTCCCCAGGGCATTGTCAGCTTTTGTCTTGAATTTTTGCCTCCTCCCTCAGCACTGACTAGTTCTGATCCTCACCTTGGCCTCAGTCCTGTTTGCAGGTAAGTCTCCCTGTGCCCTGCTTTGGTGAGCCCTGAAAGACCTGATTGGAACAGGCCAGATCTGTACTTTCCCAAGCCTGAGCAATCATGGGAGGAAACCAAAGAGAGAAGAAACCAGGGAAGAAGTGTTTTATTTATGTTGTATGTTCAGAAAATATAGAATTGGATTATATGCCAATTATCCCACAGAATTAAATAAAGAGAGCAAAATCACACAGACACAAAGGGATTACAGAGATAGAAGAAACATTGGTTCCAAAGCTTTTTTATATTCTTCATCTTATCTAATTGTTGTATAGCCCATTATATAAATTTTATTAATTCCAATTTATAAATGAAGGAAATGCAGATCAGAGAAGATAAATAGGAAGTTATCAATTAGATATGAATTAGTAAGATTGATAACTGTAATTTGAAGTGAGCTCTTTAAAAAACTTACAAGATTTCTTGTCAGGGCCCAAAGAAGAACCAAAACTGGTCTTGGCAAAGCTTATTTAAATCTTTAATAAAATAAACAACTTATCCCTCACTATTCCATTGTTGCTTCATAGAGTTTTCTAACCATAAAACTAAAGATACTAATAAAATTTACATTTAGCATCTTTCAATTCTTTTATTTGATTTGTTTCTATTAC